AAAATCAGGAAGCTCCCTCGGCTGGGAAGGTCCTTCCTGAGGACTGAGGGGCCCCCGTCCCACACCAGGTGCCCCACTCAGGGTTCCAGTGCCAGGAAGAGAAGTCCCCATAACGTCTGGCTGGAAAAACCAGCAGAAACTGAGGCTCAGGGAAGCTGGCGGCTGGAGCCCCAGGCAGCTCCCTAAAGGGCCCGCGCGCAAACTTATTGGGCTCTCTCCCTCTAAGCTTGGAGGGGAGGCAGCTCGAGGGGCACCAGAGTCATACAGGGAAGAACTGAGCTGTTTGGCACTGGAGCGAGGGCTGGAGAGGGGGCTTTCTCAGGGACAAATGTGCTGTAAGAGGCCTTTGTTCCTTTTGTGAGCCCTTCGTGGGGGCAGCAGACAGTCGCCATATCTGGGACTCCAGCAACCTGGCTCACACTGGTAGCCCTGCCCTTGTTACCCCCTGAGGCCCCGCCTCGCCCCACCCGACCCCACCCAACGTTCAAGCCCAACCAAGCTGTTGCAACTTGCTAAACCATAAGATTGGCCTGTCTTGGATCCTGCTTCAGTTTTTTCCTAAATTCTTTCAAACGAGCAGCATCTGGTCTCAGAGAGCCCCATACCTCTCATTAAGTAATACACAGGGAGGCAGCCAAAATGAGGAGACAAAGAAACAGGTCCCAAATGAAAGAACAGAACAAAACGCCCATAAAAGAACTAAGCGAAATGGAGATAAACAACCTAACAGATACTGAGTTCAAAATACTGCTTATAAGGATGCTCAATGAACTTAGTGAGAACCTCAGTGAACTTAGGGAGGGCCTCGAGAGCATAAAAAAGAACCAGTTAGAAATCATGGATAAAACCGTTAGAATTGAAGGAGGCATTAACTGAAATAAAGAATAATTTACACAGCTTCAATAATAGAGTACGTAAATCCAAGGAGCAAACCATAGATTTGGAATATAAGGAAGCAAAAAATTCCCAATCAGAACAGCAAAAAGAAAAAGGAATTCAAAAAAATGAGGATAGTGTAAGGAGCCTCTGGGACAACTTCAAAAGTGCCAGCATTCACATCTTGGGGATGCCAGAAGGAGAAGAGAGAGAACAAGAAATCGAAAGCCTGTTTGAAACAATAATGGCAGAAAACTTTCATAACGTGCTGAAGGAAACAGACATACAAGTCCAGGAAGCACAGAGAGTCCAAAACAAGATGAACCCCAAGAGGCCCACACCAAGACACATTATCATCAAAATGCAAAAGATTCAAGACAAAGAGAGAATCTTAAAAGCAGCAAGAGAAAAACAGCTAGTTACCTACAAGGGAGTTCCCATGAGGCTGTCAGCTGATATCTCAAAAGAAACTTTGCAGGCCAGAAGGGAGTGGCAAGAAATATTCAGAATGATGAAAAGCAAGAACCTACAACCAAGATTACTCTATCATGCAAAACTGTCATTTAGAATCGATGGCCATATAAAGAGTTTCCCAGACAAGAAAAAGTTAAAGGAGTTCATCAGTACCAAACCATTATTATATGAAATGATGAAGAAAAATATAAAATGTATGAACAAACAAAATGGCAATGAATACATATCTATCAACAATGGAATCTACAAACAAAATGAACAGGTAGAACAGAAACATTCTCATAGATACAGAGAACATTTTGTTGGTTGCCAGTTGGGAGGAGGGTTGATATGCATGAAATATAGGAACACCAAAATATATTAAAAATCTTCTGGAGGACTTCCAAGGAGAAATCAACAGCAATACAATCATAGCAGGGGACTTCAACACCCCGTTGACACCACTGGATAGATCCTCTAGACAAAAAATTAGCAAGGAAACAGAGACTCTAAATGAAGCACTAGACCAAATGGATTTAATAGATATCTACAGAGAGTTACACCCCAAATCTACAGAAGTCACATTCTTCTCAAGTGCACATGGGACATTCTCAAAGATAGACCACATGTTAGGACACAAACTAAATCTCTACAAGTTCAAGAAGAATGAAATCATATCAAGCATCTTCTCAGATCACAATGGCATGACACTAGAAATCAATTGCAACAAGAACATGCAAAGACATTTGAACACATAGAGCTAAATAGCATGTTATTAAACAATGATGGGTTACCATGGAGATCAAGGAAGAAATTAAAAACTTCCTGGAAACCAATGAAAATGAACACACAACAACACAAAATCTATGGGATGCAGCAAAAGCAGTTCTGAGAGAGAAGTTCATAGCACTACAGGCCTACATCAAGAAACAAGAAAAATTTCCAATTGACCATCTAACCTCACAACTTAAAGAACTAGAAAGCAGACAAAAAGGAAACCCCAGAGTAAGTAGAAGGAAGGAAATAGTAAAGATCAGAGCAGAAATAAATGACATAGAGACCAAAAACACAATACAAAGGATCAATGAAACAAAGAGCTAGTTTTTCATCAAGATAAACACGATTGACGGACCCTTAGCTAGGCTCACCAAGAAAGAAAGAGAGAGAACCCAAATACACAAAATCAGAAATGAAAGAGGAGAAGTAACAACTGATACATAAATACAAAAGATCTTTAACAACTACTATGAACAATTATATGGCAACAAATTCAACAACCTAAGCAAAATATACACATTTCTAGAAACACATAGTCTCCCAAAACTAAACCAAGAAGAGATAGAAAACTTGAACAGACCAATAAGAAATAGTCCTGGCTGGATTTGCTCAGTGGTTAGAGCATCAGCCTGTGGTCCAGAGAGACCCAGGTTCGGGTCCTGCTACGGGCACGTACCTTGGTTACAGTTTGTCCCCGGCCCTGGTAGGGTCGTGCGGGTGGCAACCACTTGATGTGGCCCTTTCACGTCGATGTTTCTCTCTCTCTCTTTCTCTCTCCCCCTCCTACTCTATCTTAACAAAAAATGGAAAAATGTACTTGAGTGAGGATAAAAAATAAATAAATAAATAAAACAAAAGAAATTGAAGATGTAATCAAGACTCTCCCAGCAAATAAATGCCTAGGCCCAGATGGCTTCACGGGGGAATTTTACCAAACATTCAAAGAAGAACTAACACCCATTCTCCTCAAACTATTTCAAAAAATTCAAGAAGAAGGAAGACTTCCAAATTTGTTTTATGAGGCCAGCATAATTCTAATTCCAAAAGCAGAAAAAGACATTGCAAAGAAAGAAAACTGCAGGCCAATATCCCTGATGAACATAGACGCCAAACTCCTGAACAAAATACTAGCAAATCGAATCCAGCAATGTATCAAAAAAATTATTCACCATGACCAAGTAGGATTCATCCCAGGGATGCAAGGCTGGTACAATATTCACAAATCAATAAATGTGATATACCACATAAATAAAATGAAGAATAAAAACCACATGATCATAGATGTTGAAAAAGCCTTGGACAAATTCAGCCTCAATTTCTGATAAAAGTGCTCAGCAATGTGGGATCATATCTTGACATAATAAAGGCCATATATAAAAGACCTACAGCCAACATCATACTCAATGGGCAAAAACTAAAAGGTTTTCCCTTAAGAACAGAAACAAGGCAAGGATGCCCACGTTCACCACTGTTATTTAACATAGTACTGAAAGTCTTAGCTACAGCAATCAGAGAGGAAGAAAAAATAAAAGGGATCCAAATTGGAAAAGAGGAAGTGAAACTGTCATTATTCGCAGATGACATGATACTCTATGTAGAAAACCCCAAAGACTCCATCAAAAATTTACTAGACTTAATAAATGAATTTGTCAAAGTAGCAGGATACAAAATTAACATCAAGAAATCGATGGCATTCTTATACGCCAATGATGAACTCACTCACAGAAAGAAAAACTAAGAAAACAATCCCATTTACCATTGCGGCAAAAAAATTAAGATACCTAGGAATAAACTTAACCAAAGAAATACAGGACCTACTTGCAGAAAACTACAGGTCATTCAAAAAAGAAATAGAGGAAGATATAAAAAGGTGGAAGCACATACCATATTTATGGATTAGAAGAATTAACATCATTAAAATGTCCATACTACCCAAAGCAATCTATAGATTCAATGCAATCCCTATCAAAATACCAACGACATATTTCACAGAACTAGAACAAATACTTCAAAAGTTCATATGGAACCAAAAAGGACCTCAAATAGCCACAGCAATCTTAAAAAAAGAAGAACAAAGTAGGAGGGATCACATTACCAGATTTCAGGTTATACTACAAAGCCACTGTAATCAAAACAGCCTGGTACTGGCACAAGGACAGGCATATAGACCAGTGGAACAGAACAGAGAACCCAGAAATGGACCCAAGGCAATATGTTCAATTAATATTTGACAAAGGTGGCAAGAGCATATAGTGGAGTAAAGACAGCCTCTTTAATAAATGGTGTTGGGATAATTGGACAGCTACATGCAAAAAATGAAACTAGACCATCAACTTACACCCTATACAAGAATAAACTCAAAATGGATAAAAAACTTAAATGTGGCTCATGAATCTATAAAAATCCTGGATGGAAGTGTAGGCAACAAAATTTCAGACATCATATGCAGCAGAATTTTCACTGATACATCACCTAAGGCAACAGAAACAAAGGAGAAAATGGGACTACATCAAACTCAAAAGCTTCTGCACAGCAAAAGATATAATCATCAAAATGGAAAGGCAACCCACTCTATGGGAGAGCATAATTGCCAATGATATATCAGATAAGGGGTTAATTTCCAATATATATAGAGTGCTCATACAACTCAACAAAAGGAAACCAAAGAACCCAATTAAAAAATGGGCAGAGGATCCCCACTGGCTGTTCTGAAAAGTCATCTTTGCATTGTTCCTGTGGCTGCCTCTTCACTTGCTGCAGCCTCCTCTGCCCCACGCCTCTTCCGCCGCTGCGGATTGTGGCAGCTTCTTCGCCAGAGTCTTCGAACTCTCGCTCTTTTTTACTCTCGCTCTTTTTTTAAAAATCCGTTGCATCGGTTCACCAGTGTGCCCACCATGTCAGACGCAGCTGTCGACACCAGCTCCGAGATCACCACCAAGGACTTAAAAAAGAAGAAGAAAGTTGTGGAGGAGGCAGAGAATGGAAGATGCACACCTGCTAATGGGAACGCTAATGAGGAAAATGGGGAGCAGGAGGCTGACAATGAGGTAGGTGAGGAAGAGGAAGAAAGAGGGGAGGAGGAGGAGGAGGAAGGTGATGGTGAGGAAGAGGATGGAGATGAAGATGAGGAGGCTGAAGCAGCTGAAGATGACGAGGATGACAATGTTGACACCAAGAAGCAGAAGACTGATGAGGATGACTAGACAGCAAAAAAGGGAAAAGTTAAACTTAAAAAAAAAAAAAAAGGCCTCTGTGACCTATTCACCCTCCACTTTCCGTCTCAGAATCTAAACGTGGTCACCTTCGAGTAGAGTGTCCCGCCCGCCTGCCTGCCCACTGCAGGCAGTGCCACCAGCAGATGACACGCACTCGCCACCGCCACCACCCAACCAGAACCACAAAGTGAATTTGCAACAGGGGAGGGAAAAAGAACCAAAACTTCCAAGGCCTGATTTTTTTCTTAAAAGTACTTTAAAAAGGAAAATTTGTATTTTTTATTTACATTTTATATTTTTGTATATTGTTGGGGGTCAGCCATTTTTAATGATCTCGGGATAACCAAACCAGCCTTTGGAGTGTTCTCTGTCCTACTTCTGACTTGTGGTATGACCATGTTCATTATAATCTCAAAGTAGAAAAAAAAACCTTGTGAAAAAAGCAAAAACAACAACAGAAACAATCTTATTCCGAGCATTCCAGTAACTTTTTGTGTATGTACTTAGCTGTACTATAAGTAGTTGGTTTGTATGAGATGGTTAAAAAGGCCAAAGATAAAAGGTTTCTTTTTCTTCCTTTTTTTGTCTATGAAGTTGCTGTTTATTTTTTTATTTTTTGGCCTGTTTGATGTATGTGTGAAACAATGTTGTCCAACAATAAACAGGAATTTTATTTTGCTGAGTTGTTCTACAACAACAACAACAAAAATGGGCAGAGGAACTAAATAGACACCTCTCCAAACAGGACATACAAATGGCTAAGAGACATATGAAGAAATGCTCAACATCTCTAATCATCAGAGAGATGCAAATTAAAACAACAATGAGGTATCACCTCACACCTGTCAGAATGGCTGCCATCAACAAATCATCAAACAACAAGTGTTGGCGAGGGTGTGGAGAAAAGGGGACTCTAGTACACTGCTGTTGGGAATGCAGACTGGTGCAGCCACTATGGAAAACAATATGGTGTTACCTCAAAAAATTAAAAATTGAACTTCCATTTGACCCAGTGATCCCACTTGTAGGAATATACCCCAAGAAGCCTGAAATAACCAACCAGAAAGAATATATGTAACCCCATGTTTGTAGCAGCACTATTTACAATAGCTGAGATCTGGAAACAGCCCAAATGTCCATCAGTAGACCAATAGATAAAAAAGTGGTGGTACATATACACAATGGAGTACTATGCAGCTGTAAAAAAGAAAGATCTCTTATCCTTTGAGAAGACATGGAGGGACCTGGAAAGTATTATCCTAAGCGAAACAAGCCAAACAGAGAAAGACAAGTATCATATGATCTCACTTATTTGTGGAATATAATGAACATAACAGTCTGAAGAATGGGGTAGTCCCAGAGACATGGAAGTAGGGTACACACTGACAATCCACAGAATAGGGAGTGGTGGGGGAGAGATAAACCACAGAAATTTTATGCATGTGTGCATGAACAATTGACATGGACAACAAAGCTGGGTACAGGGCGGGGAAGGAGGGTAAGTGAATCAGGTGGGGGGGGGAGGAGAAATATCTGTAACAAAAATTAATTAAGTAATTTTAAAAAAAGAAACCCTTTTAATAAACTATTTAACTCTAAATTTTAAAGATTAGAAAGAGAACAACACCAAAACAAAAACAACAACCCCAGAGTAAGTAGGAGGAAGGAAGTAATAAAGATCAGAGCAAAAATATATGACATAGAGACTAAATAAACATACTAAAGATCCATGAAACCAAGACCTGGTTCTTTGAAGGATAAACAAAATTGATGAACCCTTAGTCAGACTCACCAAGAAACAAAGAGAGGACCAAAATAAATAAAATCAGAAATGAAAGAGGTGAAGTAACAACTGGTACCACAGAAATACAAAGGACTGTAAGAAAATACTATGAATGCATATGCCAACACATTGGACAACCTAGGTGATGTGGAAAATTTCTAGAATCATACAAGCTTCCAAAACTCAACCAGGAAGAGTCAGAAAACAACTAAGGAAGTAGAAACAGTAATCAATAAACTCCCAGCAAATAAAAGCTCTGGTCTGATGGCTTCACTGGGGCATTTTACCAAATATTCAAAGAAAAACTAACACCTATTCTCTTCAAACTACTCTAAAAAATTAAAGAGGAAGGAAGATTTCCAAGCTATTTTTATGAGGCCAGCATAATCCTAATTCCAAAACCAGATAAAGACACTTCAGAGAAAAAACATTATAGGCTGCCCTGGCAGGTTTAGCTCAGCTGTTAGAGCATTGGCCTGTGGACTAAAGAGTCCCACGTTCAGTTCCCGCTAAGGGCATGTACCTTGGTTGCAGTTTGTCCCTGGCCCCAGTTGGGGTCATGTGGGTGGCAGCCACTCGATGTGTCTCTCACATTGATGTTTCTCTCTCTCTCTCTCTCTCTCTCTCTCTCTCTCTCTCTCTCTCTCTCTCTCTCTCCCCCTCCTTCTCTTCCTCCTACTCTATCTGAAGATAAACACAGAAATGTCCTTGGGTGAGGATTTAAAAAAAGAAGAAGAAGAAAATTACAGGCCAATATCCCTCTTGAACATAGATGCCAAAATCCTCAACAAAATATTAGCAAATCAGATCCAGTAATGTATCAGTGTAATTATTCACCATGGCCAGTGGGATTTATCCCAGGGATGAAAGCATGGTACAATATTTTCAAATCAATAAATGTGACACATCACATAAACTAAATGAAAGATACTTCTGCCACTCCTGGTGCTGCTTGTGTGCTCATTTGGTGCAGATCTGATACCTCTTTTATGAAGCAGCTGCTGAGGAGACTCTGGTGCTCGCCATGGCCGATGGATAGCCCAAGAAAGGAGTCAAGACTGAGAATAACAACAACAATATTAATTTGAATGTGTTGGGGCAGAATGATTCTGTGGTACAGTTTAAGATTAAGAGGCATACACCACTTAGTAAACTAATGAAAGCCTGTTGTGATTGACATGGTTTGCTGAGGAGGCAGATCAAATTCTGATTTGACAAGCAGCCAATCAATGAAACAGACATACCTGCAAAGTTGGAAATGTAGGATAAAGATACAATTGATATATTCCAGCAGCAGACAGGACATGTCTACTAAAAGAAAACTTGCGCCCCGGCCGGTTTGGCTCAGCGGTTGGAGCATCGGCCTGCGGTACAGAGAGACCCGGGTTCGGTTCCTGCTAAGGGCACATACCTCGGTTGCAGTTTGTCCCCGGCCCTGGTTGGTCTTGCGGGTTGCACCCACTCGATGTGTCCCTTTCACATCGATGTTTCTCTCTCTCTCTCTTCCTCTCTCTCTCTCCCGCTCTATCTCAACAAAAAATGGAAAAATGTCCTCGGGTGAGGATAAAAAATAAAAATAAAAAAATAAAAGGGAACCTGCTACTTTACTCCAGAACTCTGTCCCTCCAGACCAAGAAGACATTCTCAATTAGAAAACTACTATTTGGTTTCAACACATCTGAATACTACATTATAATTTTCTCTATTCTTTCCTTTTCCTTTTCCTTATTCCTTTATTGTACATAAAGTAACTGATGTATGTGTACAAGCATTTGCATTTTTTTTTACCTAAATGGCCAATGATATGTTTTGATCGACATCAAATGGAGATGGGAGGGGGAAAATACTGGTTCTGTAAAAATACCCCCTTTCTCCATTAGTGGAATGCTCATTCAACTTTTGTCTTTATATTCCAGTAAGTTATTTTGCTCTCACAGTTTAACAAAAAAGAACAACATAAAAATCCTTGCATACCTTGTTTGATTGGAGAATTTTAATGTTTTTCATTTATCATTGTCAAACCAAAGAAAATTTTATAACTTTTTTGTACGTAGCTATTACATGTAGGGCAATCTGTCTTTAAGTAGGGGTAAATTATTCTAAAATAAATGAATCAATAAATGAATCCTACATAATTTTCCTTTCAAGTCAAGCACCTTGTTGTTTAAATGAACTACTTGTTTACATTTTTTTAAATATTAAAATAATATGACCATATCAATAGATGCTGAAAAAGCACGTGACAATATCCAGCACCCATTTTTGATAAAAACTCTCAGCAAAATGGAAATTGAGAGATCATACCTCAACATAATAAAAGCCACATATGACAAACCTTCAGCCAACATCATACTCAATGGGCAAAAACTAAAAGCATTTCCCTTAAGAACAGAAATAAGACAGAGATGTCTGCTTTTGCCACTCTTATTCAACATGACACTGAAAGTCTTAGACACAGTGATTAGAGAAGAAGAAAAAATAAAAGGCATTCAGGTTGGAAAGGAGACAGTGAAACTGTCATTATTCACAGATGTATACAGAAAACCCTAATGACTCCATCAAAAAACAAGATTTAATAAAAGAATTAGCAAAGTAGTAGGATGCAAAATTAACATTCAGAAATTGATGGCATTTTTTATACACCAATAATGAACACTCAGAAAAACTAAAAAAAAAAAAAATCCCATTTAACACTGCAACAAAAAAAAGTAGATACCTAGGAATAAACTTAACCAACGAGGTAAAAGACCTGTTCTGAGAAAACTATAGGACATCAAAAAAAGTAAAGAGCCCAGGCGGTGTAGCTCAGTGGATTGAGCATTGTCCCATGGATTGAGAGGTCCTGGTTTGATTCCTGGTCAGGGCACATGCCTGGGTTGCAAGCTTGAATCCCAAAAGGGGGTGTGCAGGAGGTAGCTGATGTATTTCGCTCACACTGATGTTTCTATCTCTCTCTCTCCCTTCCTCTTTCTCTAAAAAATCAATAAAAACATATTTAAAAAAGAGAAATAGAAGAAGATATAAAAAAGTGGAAACATATACCACGTTCATGGATTGAAAGAATCAACATCATTAAAATGTCCATACTACCCAAAGCAATCTATAGATTCAATGCAATCCCTATTAAAATACCAGTGGCATATTTCACAGATCTAGAACAAAACTCCAAAAGTTTTGGAACCTAAAAAGACCCCAAATAGCCACA